AGCCGGGCACGGCAGCTCACACATGTAATCCCAGCACTTTGGGAGGCCGAGGCGGGCAGATCATGAGGTCAGGAAATGGAGACCATCCTGGCTAACACAGTGAAACCCCATCTCTACTAAAAATACAAAAAATTAGCCAGGCCTGGTGGCAGGCACCTGTAGTCCCAGCTACTCGGGAGGCTGAGGAAGGAGAACGGCATGAACCTGGGAGGCGGAGCTTGCAGTGAACCGAGGTCGCGCCACTGCACTCCAGTCTGGGCGACAGAGTGAGACTTCATCTTAAAAAAAAAAAATCATCATAATAATAACAACCCAAGTTTATTGGGTCTCTATTATATTCATTTTTAGTAAGTTTATGTTTAAGTACATTTATTTATTTATACATATATTGACTCATTTAATTCCTACCATACCCCAAAAGAGAGGTACTTTTTTTATAGATGAGAAACTGAGGCTCAGAGATGGGAAGTAACTTGCCCTAGTAGTATTGATAGTAGTGGGTTCTGGCACCCTGAGTTCTGGCCTAGGCAGCTGGTTCCCAGGTCTACCCTCTGGCCACTGTACTATATTACCTGTAAGGACACTTTTGGGAAGGTCATACGGGTTCCCCTGGATGTCTCTTAGGAGGCCTCTATTTTTTAGAGCCTTGAAGAATAATCCAAGCTAACCAGGAAGAGGAAAAGGGGTGGCGTGGGGCCCAAAGACAGGGCCTTCCTGTCTTTGGCAGAGGTGACAGGGTAGGCAAAGGCTTGGAGGCCTGATGGTGCTAGACAAAAGCAGAGAACTATCAGCACATCAGTATTCCCAGGAGGCAGGTGTGACAGAAGATGAGCTGGCGAGGTTTGCATCATAAGGGCCTGCAAGGCCATGCTAGGGCCCTGAGCTTTGTCCAGCCTCTGCCGCCTGGCCTGAAAGACCACAGGAAAGAGGAGAGCCTCATAGAGGAGAGGCTAACAGTGAGACCAGGTGGACACGCACTACCTGTTTTCAAGAGTTACTATAAAGCTAGAGTGAACAAGGCTGTGGAACTGGTGAAAGGATGCACATTTGTAACAGTAGAACAGAATGGAGACTGCAGAAATACGCATGCATGGTCAGTTGATTTCTGACAAAGTACAGAGGGAATTCACTGGAGATAGATGGTGTCAGTTTGTTTCTGCTGCTATGACAAAATACCTGAGACTGGGTCATAAAAAACAGTGATTTATTTTCTCATGGTTCTGGAGGCTGGGAAGTCCAAGATCAAGGCACTGGTGGATTTGGTGTCTGGTAAGGGCTGTCGTCTGCTTCCAAGATGGTGCCTCTTGATGCATCCTCACATGGCAATAGGGACCAACAGCTCCCTCACACCTCTGTTGTAAGGGTGCTAATCCCATCCGTGAGGGCTCTGTTCTCATGAGTTAATCACCTCCTAAAGGCCCTAATTCTTTTATTTATTTATTTATTTATTTATTTATTTATTTATTTACTTATTTATTTATTCATTCATTCATTCATTCATTCATTTGAGATAGAGTCTCGCTCTGTTGCCCAGGCTGGAGTGCAGTGGCACGATCTCAGCTCACTGCAACCTCCACTTCCTGGGTTCAAGTGATTCTCCTGCCTCAGCCTCCCAAGTAGCTGGGATTACAGGTGTGTGCTACTATGCCTGGCTAATTTTTGTATTTTTTGTTAGAGATAGGGTTTCACCATGTTGGCCAGGCTGGTCTCAAATGATCCGCTTGCCTTGGCCTCCCAAAGTGCTGGGATTATACACATGAGCCACAGTGCCTGGCCTAGGCCATAAGTCTTAAAACTATCACACTGGCAATGAAGTTTCAACATATGAATTTTGTGGGGATACATTCAAACCATGGCAGATAGTCTGTTTAAAAAATGATGCTAGAGCATACAGACATCCATGCAAAAAAAAAAAAAAAAAAAAAAAAAAAAGAAAAAGAAGAAAAAAAGAAAAGAAAGAAAAGAGAGAGAGAGAGGAAAAAAGAAAGAATGTTGACCTGTAACTCAAAAAGGATCATAGACCTAAATGTAAAATGTTAAAATGGGAAATACAGAAACATAAGTGAAAGTACAAAAGAAGAAGCCTAAAAGCATAAAAGAATTAAACAGGAGAAAATCTTTCTGATTTGGATTAGGCAAAGATTTTTTTGATATGACATTGAAAACACAATCCAGGAAACAAAAATTTAGAAATTGGATTTCATCAAAATCAAAACCTTCTGTTTTTAGAATGGCACTGATAACAAAATAAGAAGACAAATCTTCTATGCAGACTGGGAGGAATATTGTAAAATCTGTATCTGACAGAGGACTTGTGTCTGGAATATATCAAAAATTCTCAAAACTCAGTAAGAAGAAAACAAACAAACATTTGTTTTTTAAAAAAATGGGCAAAATACTTGAACATATACTTCACCAGAAAAGAAGCATGAATAGCAAATAAACACACGAAAGGTGTTTAACATAATTAATCACTAAATTTAAATCATAATGAGAAACCACTATTATTATTTTGGAATGGCTAAAATAAAAAAAAATTCAAAACACAAAACTGACAATATTAAGTACCGGGGCAGGGGATGTGGAGCAACTGGGATTCTCAGACAGTGCTCGTGAGAATGCAAAATGGAACAGTCACTTTGGAAAACAATTTGGCAGTTTGATATAAAGTTAAGCATATACTTATTATATAAGTCGGCAATATCACTTGTAGGTATTTACCTAGAGAAATACAAACTTCTGTCCACAAAAAAAACCCGTAGACAAATATTTATAGTGGCTTTATTCATGATGGCCCAGAACTGGGAACAACTCAAATGTCCTTCTATTACTGAATGAATAAACTGTTATACATCTATGTATTGTAACACTACTTATCAATGAAAAGGAACTTCTTTTTATTTGAGACAGAGTCTTACTCTGTCACCTAGGCTGCAGTTCAGTGGCATGATCTCAGCTCACTGCAACATCCATCTTCCTGGTTCTAGCAATTCCCCTGCCTCAGCCTTCCAAGTAGCTGGGATTACAGGCACACGTCACCACACCTGGCTAATATTTTTGTATTTTTAGTGGAGACAGGGTTTCACCATGTTGGCCAGGCTGGTCTTGAACCATTGACGTCAGGCAATCTGCCCGTCTCAGCCTCCCAAAGTGCTGGAATTACAGGCATGAGCCATCGTGCCCAGTCAAAAATGAGCTACTTTTTTTTTTTCTTCAACTTTTATTTTAAGTTCAGGGGTACATGTGCAGGATGTGCAGGTTTGTTACATAGATAAATGTGTGCCATGGGCTGGGCGTGGTGGGTCATGCCTGTAATCCCAGCACTTTGGGAGGCTGAGGCAGGTGGATCATGAGGTCAGGAGTTCAAGACCAGCTGGCCAAGATGGTGAAACCCTGTCTCTACTAAAAATACAAAAATTAGGCAGGCACAGTGGCAGGTGCCTGTAATCCCAGCTACTCGGGAGGCTGAGGCAGGAGAATCACTTGAACCCAGGTGGCAGACGGTGCAGTGAGCTGAGATTGCGCCACTGCACTCCAGCCTAAGCAATAGAGTGAGACTCTGTCTCAAAACAACAACAACAACAACAACAACAACACCACCACCACCACCACCACCACCACCACCACCACCACCACCACCACCACCATGTGCCATGGTGGTTTGCTGCACAGATCATCCCATCACCTAGGTATGAAGCCCAGCGCCTATTAGCTATTCTTCCTGATGCTCTCCCTCCCCTAACTCCACCTCTGACAGACCCCAGTGTGTGTTGTTCACCACAGTGTGTCCATGTGTTCTCGTTTTTCTGTTCCCACTTATAAGTGAGACCATGCAGTGTTTGGTTTTTTGTTCCTGTGTTAGTTTGCTGAGGAAAATGGCTTCCAGCTTCATTCATGTAACTGCAAAGGATGTGATCTTGTTCCTTTTTATGGCTGCATAGTATTCCATGGTGTATATGTATCATATTTTCTTTATCCCATCTATCACTGATGGGCATTTAGGTTCATTCTTTGTTTTTGCTATCGTGAATAGTGCTGCAATGAACATACATGTGCATGTGTCTTTACAATAGAATGATTTACATTCCTTTTGGCATATACCCAGTAATGGGATTGCTGGGTCAAATTATATTTCTGCCTCTAGGTCTTTGAGGAATTGCCACATTGTCTCCCAAAATGGTTGAACTAATTTACACTCCCACCAACAGTGTAAAAGTGTTCCTTCTTCACAACCTTGCCAGAATCTGTTATTTTTGACTTTTTAATAATCGCTGTTCTGATGGGCATGAGATGGTAACTCACGGTGGTTTTGATTTGCATTTCTCTAATGACCAGTAATGTTGACCTTTTTTTCATATGCTTGTTGGCCACATGCATATCCTCTCTTGAGAAGTGTCTGTTCATGTCCTTTGCCCACTATTTAATGGGGTTGATGAAAAGGAACTTCTGATACATGTAGCATGGACGAATCTCAAGTGCATTAGGCTAAATGAAAGAAGGCAGATTGCGTGCTATGCACCCAATGATTCCATTTATATGGCCTTTTGGAAAAGGTAAAACTAAAGGGACAAAATACTTGATGGGTAGTTTTTAATGGCTGGGGCTGGGTGAAGGGGTTGACTATAATGAAGCCCTGGAGAATTTTAGGGGGTGATGGAACTGTTCTGTATCTTGATTGTGGTGATGGTTACACAACTGCATGCATTTGTTAAAACTCAAACAACTGTATTTTAAAATGGATGAATTTCATTGTATGTATACTTAATTTCAACAAACCTGACCACCACCACCAGCACCACCAACACCACCAACAGAGGGTAGTTAGGTTATAGGGCATAAGACAGAGTTTGGGAGACCTACCTTGAACCTGGTCCCTAACTGGCATTCTGCCTCTGCAGACCCTGTCTTCCCATCCTTGAGGCCTCAGCCAACTACTACGGAAACCTTGCTCCCTGCAGTTTCCAAAAGCCAGAAAGGGAACCATTAGCGAGCCCCTTCTGTGGAGTGTTAAGGTCCTTGTTTTTATTAACTGTAAGTGCTCCTGCGAGGGCTAATAGCTGAAGTTACGGCAGGCTCTTGCAGAGGAAGGATGGGAACGGAGACCATTTTCCAGGAGGTTGGAGAAGAGTGGCATGGGGTGGAGGATAAGCCTTCACTGTGGTTGGCGGCACTGGGCCGCTCCCATGCATCATGGGCGTGTTGGCAGCAGGGGGTGAGGAACTACATGGAAGACAGGCGCGCACCCCATGCTTGCTTTTGGGTTAGTTTACAAAGTCTTCCCTCCCCACCTGGCAACCACAGCCCCTGCCTGGGCTTCCTTCCCCAGTACCTTCCTCAACCACCTTTGAATTATCCAATGCCAAGTACAAATAGCCAGGTTTGGGGAATTATTTCTTTACGGTAACTAAACACAAAGGCCTCAGGATCTTCATTTGGTATATTTCTGCTTCCTTGGTCTTCTGAGGTTCAGATGACCTTGGGGCTTCTGTAAGGGAAGGTTTCTGGTCAGTGAGAGGAGCAGAAGGGCTGGAGTAGGCATCAGGGCTCCAGGCTTCCATGGTCTTGCCATGCCAATGAGGAGGTTGGAGGATTGGCTAAAGTAGCTGCTGGGAGCCAGTAGCTAATGATTGGATTTTTTTCTATACCATGTTCTTCAAATTTTCCATGCACCTTCCCACTGCAGGACCTTTGAACATGCCAGCCCCTTGAGAAGTTCTGTTGGACTGCCACTCACTGCACCCGACTGTGTCTGTTTGCTGAGGATGCCAGAATCAGGAAGACAAGGCTTCTCATGTGAAAGAAGACTCCGACCTAGGGAGAGTGGTAGTGAGAGTGGTACTAACAATAATAATAAAAATAATAATAATAATAATAACAACAACAACAACAGCAGCAACAACACTGGCAGAGCCATTGAGGGAGCACTCATGAGGTGCCAGGCATTTATGTGCACTATGACATTCAAAACTCACAACAGTCTTACAGATGGACAGTGTTATTATTCCCATTTTATCAAAGAGGAAACAGGCCGAGAGAGGATAAGTCACTTGCTGAGCTGATACATGGCAGGGCTGGAACTTTGAGTCCAAGCCTCAGGGACTGGAGAGTCACGTGTTTGGCCATAGTGTTTTCCCACTACACCCAGGAAAGTCCCCCTCTGCCTCATTGGAAGGAAAGTCACATCCAACTTTAACTTGGCAGGTCCTCAGTTGGATCATTTAGAAGGAATGAAAAACAAAAGTAACATTGGCTATTGCATAGGATGCAGGCTACCAGCCTAAGACTGCGGGCAAAGGAGGGCTGGGCAGAGGTGCTGCACGTACCTGACCACCTGGCCCCAACTCTTCCTCTAGGACTCTTTCCACTCATTGCACTCATAGAGGACTTTTTTCCAAGGTGGGAAAGCCAGAACAGACTGTTCAGGGTGACCAGAGGCTTGTGGGAAGATGCCTTGGGCCGTAAGCCTTCCTGACTCAGCGCTCTTCCACTCCAGTTTTTGGACGGAGGTAAGGCATGTACTTGATGTTGAGCCCACAGCAGACCGATAAGTCATCCTCAGCCTCCCAGAGTCTGGTGGGGTTCTGTTGTCTAGTAAGCTGAAGACAATACTTCATGAATAATGTGGGTGTGATGTTGGGTAACAGTGATGGTTGATGGGCTCAGGGGCTGACTCATTTCTGAAGGCCTTGAATCAGACCAATGTTATTTCCTTTGGTTTTCAGTGGACCTAACCCAGATTGCCCTGAACACCTGCTCCTGTTGCTGAATCAGAGATGTGGGCTCTGGCCGGCGGAGGATCGAGACTTTACTGTGGGGCTCGAGCCCAGTTAAAGAAACACTATCCAGGAGATTCTATCGTGGGACTTGAGGCTGGTGGACAAAGCGGGAAGAGGAAGGCCTGGTCTGAGTGAGGGGCATGGGTTTTGAGTCCACAGAAAAGAGGGGAAGTATGCTTCGGTTGAAACCAAAACAGCTCAGAGGGAAGATACAAAATAGGAGCCCTGAGCAAGTTTAGATTTCTGTTTTCTCTCCCTCTCCTAGCGCTCCTCTCATAAGCTGGGTAGAGGAGAAGCAAAGCCAGGAAATGAGTCCCTGGGTAAGGCAGGCTTCAGGCAGGCCAGTGCCCAGTGCCTGCACTGCAACCTTAAAAGTGACCTGGATCAAGATCTGACCAGTTGGAGCTCCCACCCTTAGCTGGTGAGCCCAGCGCCTCCTGTGTGGGGCGGTCTGGGCTGTCCAGCTATGGGCTTCACAGACACCCCCAGAAATGCAGCTGGGGAGACCCAGCTCCCAGGGGAGTTCCTTGAAGGCAGGGTGGAGTCTTCCCTCCCTGCTTCCTGCTGCGCATCCTGAGCTTCGGGTGCTCAACAGAGCGTGTGGAGGAAGATGCTGTGAGGATGACTCCGGAGCAGTCACCAGGACACAAGACTCCGGGGAAGACAAGTAGGGGCCAAGACCTAGGAGGAGCCTTTCACAAACCGCAGGTCCAAGTAGGAGGTGCCAGGCCCCAAGCAGTCAACACTTTTGTTATTGTTAGGGCTAACCCTGGCTTTAAGCCAAACCACGATATGTAACAATTATCCAGATTATCCAAATTCTATGAAAACACCACGTACAATTATTACTCAAATTTTAGCTGTTCCCAGACAGCTTCTGGGAACACATCTATTGCACGGAGTCAATTGCATTGTGTGAAATGTGTGGACGGCAGGTTATTGAACTTCTAGGTCCCAAGTAGCATCACAAACATGAAGACTCGGGGGACCATTCGCTCCCCTGCCCTGCTCTTTGTTTTGTCCTCCATTTCCTTCTGTGGCTTTGAAAGTCCCATGCCCAGGACAATCTGCTCTGTGGAGAGCCTGGAAGAAATGGGAGTCCTGCTACAGATGGTTTGCCGAGGCTTGGCCAGGGAAGTTTACTGCGTTGCAGCAGCCTAAAAACGCAACTGGATGGGCATCTCTGCTTTGGAGCATCAGCACTGGCATCATGATATGTGGGCACTGAGAGAGACTGAAACTCTAGTTCAACTCTCCCCTGGGAGCTCCTTCTCCAAAATTCCAGAGGCTGCATTGTGGCTGGTGTGGGGCCCGGGGAGCATTGCTGTCACTCTTGCCACCCCTGCTCCCTCCCATCCCCTTGTCTGCAAATATTGCCAGGCCCTGTGTAGTTGTCCCAAAGTTCCTCTGTGTCCCTTGCCTCCCTGCAGGGAGAAAGACGCTTGCAGGTTCTACTGACCCTCCCAGCTAATCTAAGGGGATAGACGGAATGACAAATATTTCTTCAGCAAGGGCTCCTGTGGAAGAGTCAGTGAGCTCCGTGCTTCCCCAGGTGGAAAGGGTAAACGGAGGCAGAATCTGAGCACATGCAGCAAAGATGCTCATGGTGAGGGTCTGCAGGGGGACAAGTGCTAGAACATAGTCTCTGAGTTGCTCTTGTTCCCAGGCCCTGACTGGCTCCCTCTGTCATTCCCTACCTTCTTCAGTACAGTTCCCTCTTTAAATTTTCTTTGGTTGTCAAATGATCCTTTATTGAAATACTTCTATATGCAGCCCTTAACTAGCTGGCCACTCCACCCGCACCACTATCAAAGCCATCTGTGATGTCGCGAGGGTGGGTGGCGCCATCAACACTACAGCCCACAGACTGGGCAGTCCTCACAATCTCTTTAATGGTTCCAGAGAGTTCTGTGGCTAAAGATCAGTGCTGCATCTGTTGGGCAATGTTGATGATCTCACCACAAATGATATTTCCACTGTGCTTAATGTTTTTCTGCTTGTTTCTGTCTCTTGGTGGTTCCTCGAGGGCTTTGACGATCACTGCAGAGGCAGAAGATGCCACTTGAATCTGGCCTGTGTGTTCTGCACCGTCAGTTTCACTGGAATCCTCTGGCTCTTCCAGTCAATTATCTTGGTGATGTCCTCATTGGCCTTTTTTGGGGACAGACCCAGGGGGCTGATCTTAGGAGCCAGAGCAGATGTAGTACTGACTAGTGCACCTCAGGTATACGACTTTGATCTCGTTGGGATTGAACTTGGATGGCATGGCAGAGGCAGTGGATTTCTTGGTCTGCCATTCACAACCTCATTCACATGCCCTTCCAGGCTTATCTCCTAGCTCCTCCCTCCACATTCCTATGTGCCACACACACTGATCTGCCTATCGTCACCACCTACGGTGGGCTTGGGTGCCTCTGAACCTGCTGCTCCCTCTGCCTGGAATATATTTATCTCTGCTGCTAAACTCCTGTCCATCTTTTCAAGCTGAAATCAAATCCCCTGTCTGGAGTATTTCCCAGATCCACATGGAGAGGGTTAAACCATGTGCATTGCCAGCCACTTTATGGGAGAGTGGGTTTATCTCATTGCACTGTTACTCTCTAATGCCCCTGACATGAGATAGACATTCAATAATGGTCCTATCAGTGAATGAATGTGTGAGTGAATGAATGAATGAGCTGGTGGCAGGGTGAGAAAAGGAAACAGATGTGTCCATTAAGGGAAAACCTGCCTTGTGATTGTAGCCTCTCAAGGCCTCATTCAGGATGTCTTCTCCGGGAGTTGGCTTTGGGGTGCTGCCTCTCCCGCTTTTGCCCCTTGGTGCTAAGTAAGAAGTTCCTCGATGACGCTGTGCCGTCTGCCTGGCCTCTTCCAAGGATTGCTTCATTGGCTGCCGGCTCCTGGCTTTTCTGGTCAGTTCAAGGAGGGATGTGCACACGTGGTTGGGGCTTAATGCCTGAGAAAGCCTGGGAATCAATCAGATCTGGGCTAAATCAGATGAAGGAGCTCACGCTCTGCAGGGGGGCTGGAATCTGCTTGGGGGCAGCTAGACAGATGCTTCATAGAGAGTGAGAAAAGTTTCCAGGGTCCGGGGTCCCCGCGTTCTTTGTGGGGGTATGAGGAGGTCCTTGAGGAAGGGGCAATAATAGAGATAATTTATGTGGTTGAGGTTGGATGAGAGGGAGCCTGGGGATGGTGGCAGGGGTCTGGGAGAGAGTGGGTGGATGTGTGTGTGCATGTTTTGTGGGGAAGGAATGTGGGAAGGAAGGGTATGGACAAGGCCTGACTGTGAGGGCAGGAGAGAGCTGGGGAGTGAGGGTGACTCAGGGGTCCAGCTCTGCAGCCCCTGAATAGTAAGTGCCTGCAAAGGCTTCGCAGGCAGAATGGAAGAAAAGGCAGAATCCAGAAGCACAGGCACAGGCTGTATTGAAGGGGCAGAGTCCCTGGTGCAGAGAGCACCCTTAGCTTGGACGTGTTAATGCAGGCTCAGGTTAGGGCCTCCACAAGAGGCCCAGGAAGCAGAAACAGAGCTGAGAACTCTCCCAGTGCCGGGGGCAGAGACCAGGAGGAGCAGTGTGGGAGCTTCTCAGCCATGGGTCCATGCATTTCCCCCTCTTCCTCACAATCGCCCTGTGGGGACAGGAGCAGTTTGCGCCCAGGCTGCTGAGGAGTGTGGGCAGCCTGTTTCCCACCTACCCGCCAGCAGTTTATACACTAATAGCCCACAGCACCCCAGGAGGGGGTGAGCGGGGATCCATTTGTTTTTCCAGAGTTTGACCTCTGGGTAAAACTCTTTCCCCAAAATGTGCCGGTTTAAGTGAAAGTGATAAATCAGCTCCTTTGAAATGCAGAAGCAGCTTGGGGAAGCCCCCTTTGATATTCAGCTTGGAACCGGGGCACTTAAAACCTGGGTTAATTCTCCGGCTTTATTGGAGGCAGAGAAAGAGAAGAGGAGGAAACCCAGGGCTGGTCATTAAGTCTGGGGGACTTGAAAAGCCTGGGGCAGGGGCCGGGCTACCGCAAAGGGATCACGAAGGCAAAGCGGCCCTGGGAAAAGCATCCCGGCCCGATGAACTCTAATCCCGGTTCCCACCCAGACAGATGAGACGCGGAGGGTGGTGGAGAGGAGGGGGCGGGCAGGACCGGAGAGAGGCTCTGGAGGATGCGGAGGCGGTTGCTATGGAAACGGGGCGGGCACCGGGAAGGAGAAAGCCAAGGGCTAACTTGGTAATTTCCTGAAAGGAGCTGAGAATTCAAGAGAGTGTGTGTCCCATTCACTGGGCGGCTTGTGCTTTCAGAGGTCTGGGGGCTGCGGCCCCTCCATGGGAGCCAGAGCTCTACGGCGGGCCTGTTACCTCCAGAGCCCTGGTCTGGGCCCTTCATTAGAAACATCTGCTCATCATAGTCTCCACATAACAGAGTGGAGGGGGGAATAAGGCCTTGGGGCCACCACACGTCTTTCAGAGGGTGGGGGCCACTGAGGATGCAAGGCTTTCTCCCCCGTTCCACTCTCAGAAGGGAGGAAGGGCTGGGTGTGGGGACACAGGGGCCCCAGGGCTGCTTTGTGCTAGTAAGGGGACCCTGCATCCTGGATTTTCCAGGGTGGTTCCCACTGTTATTCCCACAAGTGATAAGTCCCAGTCTTGGAGTTACCAGAGAGGGTGTTCCAATTCGGGGTCTGGGACAAGCAACCCCAGTAACTACTCTCCAAGGAGATTCCTCAGAGTTTCCGAATGTGGGTCCTGCCTCCTGACACAGCTGCTGCCAGCCGGCCTGTGAGCTGTGGGCAGGGCTGAGTGGATGCGTGGGGGGACGGTTGAGCTGCTGCCTGTCCATCCCTGCTAGGTCTGTTTTTTGCAGAGGAATGGGGAGGCAGGTAGGGAGTAGAGGATGGGAGTTGAGAAAGTAAAAACTTGATCCTCTAGAGCTTGGTCCCCGCATTTCAGCCAGGCCGGAGGAGAGGGCTCCTGCCAGCCCCTGCTCCCCTCTGACTCGGGGGTGCTAAATTCCGGGGAACATATTTACTACGCTGTTGGGCTGGCCTTTGCCTGTCAT